TTTGGATTGTTGTTTGAAATAATGAGAATATTAATAATACATATTTTATAGGACTTCTATGAGTATGGGTAGTGCCTGGGAAGTACCTATACTTAGGTTTTAACCTACCTGAAAGATTTCTGTGCAGGGCAGTGGTGGCACCCGCCTTGAATTTCGGCAGAGGCAGGAAGATCTCTGGGTTCAAGGCCAACCAGGTCTATAAGAGCTAGTTCCAGGACAGGCTCCAAAGCTACAGAGAAACCCTGTCTCAGAAAAAACAAAACCAAAACAAAAATATTGAAAATGAAAAATAATATTTTTAAAACAAAACAAAAAAAACCCAAAAAGTCCATACCCCAATATAAGGTTTTTCCACTGACCCAGCAAACCAAACCAATGATAGATTTATGGTGCCAGTGACCCTGGCATGTTTTGCTCTGGGTGCAGGAGAGGACACGTTGGATGGGAGACAGACAAGATATGCCATGTGGAGAGAGCTTGGGTGTAGAGTATTTAGTGGGCATTTGGAGGGTATAAAGGTAAGGCAATATGGGGGAGAGAGAGATAGAGGAACAGAGAAAAAGAGGAATGGTGGGGGGGGGGGAGGTAGAGGTTGCCTCTTCAGAAAAAGAATGGACAGAGAGAGAGAAATCGAGAAGAGGCGCAAGATCAGCTTGCCTCAGTGGGAAGGGGGAAACTGGGAATGAGCGAAGCTTGTCTTTTAAAGGGTCAGGGTACCCAGGTGACAGGCAGACCAGCATAATTATAATTATGACTGTGTGTGTGAGATGTATCCTTGAGCAGGACATGTATAGAAGGGATCCCGCAGAACAGAGAGGCAGCTTTTGCTCTGGTTATGTGTCGGGGTCCTGGTATGACCACGTCTTTAGCAAGGTACCCCCCCCCCCCAAACACAAAGGCCCTGAGCCTCTCAGGTAATAACTTGGAACTGGCAACTTACTGGGCCAGTGGTTGATCTAGTCTGGCAGAGAGTTAAAAGTCCAGGTTTAAAAGTAAAATGTTCCTGGAAGTTCTTCAGGATCCCAGAGAGTAGACGGGGGGGAGAGACCAGAGAACCACATGGTCTTTCCGTGTTTAAATACCCTGTAGGTAGGTGTGGTCTTGAGCATCTCTGGGGAAAGGCGCTTCCCTTTTAGTTAATATTGATTTTTCATGTATATATATCATTACTTGTAGGGAGAACTACAGAACTGGCTCCTGATGTTAGCATGTAGTCTTAATCTGCCCTTTGTCTTAAGCATCTTTTGTTTAACGTATGTGAATCTTGGTTGAGAATTTCCCTAGACAACAAAGCTTATGCAAAACTTAGCTGGGTAAAATCAGGCACACTGTGATATTCCTTAACAGAAAATTTGCGTTTGACATTGTCCCTTTTGGAAGCTTAGTTAGGATGTTTTGGGGATATGGAAATCAACTTGCTAAAGGTGTAAGGTAGAGAACAATAACAAAGGCCCTTGGCAAAGGGAAGGTGAGTTCAGCAGCTGGAAAGGCTAAAATCATCCTTAATGTGCCCTGTGTTTTCTTCCACGGACCCTAGTGAACCCATTCTACAATTACTGTTTTGGTTTTTTTTTTTTTTACCTTTATTTTTATTTTATGTGCATTGGTGTTTTTTCTTCAGATTTGTATGAGGGTGTCAGATCAGATCCACTGCAACTAGAGTTACAGACAGTTTGGGAGCTGCCTTGTGGGTGCTGGGAGTTGAAAACAGTTGGTGATACTATGCTGTGTAGATAGTTAAGAGCCTGTCACAGTTCACTGGTGTTCTGCAGCAAGGGTTACATACCTCTTACTTAGAGTTTCTTTTGATTGCTTATCTTTTTACAGGTCAGGCTGTTTTTCTCAGATGATTTACTAATACTTAGATGCCTCTCCTTTAAATAGAAAGATGTATAATAGCCAACATCTCCACAGTTCTTTCTCTCTGCTGTGCACTTTTCTGTTTTACATATTATTCATCTATATTGGCTACTTTAATTATCTTCATTTTACAGATGGAAAACTAAACTCAAGTAGTTTACATGACTTTCATGTAAATGGTTTCTATGATGGCTATTGGATCAAATTGCATTAGTTTCTGAGCTTGCAATTGTTTGTATTATTATGAAGCATGTCTTATTTTGCTGTGTAGGTAAAGATGACCGTGAATCTGATCTTTCTGCCTCACTTCTCAGGGCTGGGTATTGCCATGCTGGCTCCTCTGGGCTTACTTTCTTAGCTTTTCTTACTATATTTCTCACCACAGGTTATTGAAGTGATATGAGAATAATGGAAATTAAATAAAATTGATGCCAAAATTTTATGGATGTAGGTTATTTAAATTAGTCAGTTTTAGAATTTGAATAACTGTGCTTGGAGTCTTAAAATTAAAGTCCTCTTATCTTCCACCAGGCCTGGGTTTGAGAATGAATAATGTTGCAGAAATATATATTTATTCTTAGCCTATTAATTTACCAATTTGGGATCTGTAAGAGGCTTTCATCCAATCCCCCGTTCCCTGCAACAGCTGTTTGTATCTTGCCCCATGGCTCCTGGGTTAATAGTATTTCTGACACAGTGCGAGTTTTCAAGTTGGTATGTATAATTTCTGCCAGAGCCTTTGTTGCTGCCAAGTCTGAGGGTACAGCTGATTTGTGGGGGAGGATGCTTATGACTATGAGGGAACAAGGTGCTCTCTGGGTCTCTGATTTGCTGCAGGCTGAGTGTGAATGATGTCAGGAAGATCAGAGGACAGCTGATTCATTTAAGATCTGGAACTTTTCCCTCTCCTGGGCTCTTAGTTTTTGTGAGGGGATTCTGACTGCCATGCTGATTACTTTTTTTTGTTTGTTTTTTGAGAAAAATGCCTTAATGTTACCCATGAGTTTGGGAATCTTTCTGTGTTTTCACTGGCTAAAACACCCCTTATGTGAGAGAAGTGTCTGCTGAGATTCCAGTGTGAGAGGCAGATCTTGAGTAGTCAGGAGAATGATGAAACGGAGGAGAGAGAGACTGGGAGCACCGTGCCTGCGGATTCAGTAAGGAGGTTGGGGTCTCTGACTCAAAACAGGCAGATGTAAGAAAAGTAACTAATGCCAAGTAACTTCTTCATTTACTTGGATGAAGACTGCTTTGAAAATGTCTGTTAGGAAGAGGGTGGAGCTGACTTTGTCCATTCAAGGTCATTGGAGGGACCTGTGGTGTTTTCAATTCAGACGTAATTTTAGGTGTGCCTAGGTGCTTGGGGAAGCTGGGTGAACGGTAAACCTAGTTTTCCCCCTGCCTTGAAAGCAAGTTTTTAAAGCTATTGTCAAAGATGAAAGTAAAAGCCTTAAGAATATGAGAAAAAAAGAGGGGGTGGATGAAAAGCATTCCTCCATTGCCTTGTGGTGTGGAGGGATACATTTCTGCCCTTGGCCTGTCAGTTCGTAACTGCAGGCCTCCCTTTCAGATCCTTTAAATTCTGTTTCTCCTTTGCCTAAGACAGAAACTATTAGGTGAAGATTACATAGCTGTGAAATGAGGAAGAGGGTTCTATTTTCAGGATGGTTTCCTCAAGGTCTCCTCAGGTTTGTTTGGTAAATAAACCTGATTTACCAAATTTTTAATTGTTTTAATTGTTGATTAAATCGTGGACAAAAAAAGAATCCTAGTGCCCACGTCTCCTCAGTATGTCTTGAGCTATGCCTTAAATCCCAGAGTGGAAGGAGCACACTTTCTTCCTGCATATTGGTGCTCACAGTGACTTTTTGTGGGTTGAGACCCTTAGCATGTTCATCGATTGAATTACTAATTCACTAGTTCCTAGAAAATAGCACTCATGAATTTTAAGTATTCAAATATTTTCATATACTCTGAAGAAGAAAACAACAACAAAAAACCAAAACAGCATTTACCAGACTGACACTAGAGTAAAAAGATCACAAAAAGAAACATAATCAATCAACTGAAGTAGTAATTAAAGTAAATATTACTTGTTTGCTGAGCATGAGTTTTAAATGGCGTTTGTAAACTTTCAAAAATATAAGTGCTCAACAACTAAGATTTTTGAACTAGTCCACTGTATTGGGAGTTTTGTATCTGTTTTAGAGGTAAATTTGAAAAATGGCCCTGATGAAGGAGCTAATAAGTAATTTATTAACCCTTTTTCCTTCCTTCCTTTTTCCCTCCCTCCCTTCCTCCCTCCCTCCCTCCCTCCCTCCCTCCCTCCCTCCNCTCTCTCTCTCTCTCTCTCTCTCTCTCTCTCTCTCTCTCTCTCTCTCTCTCTCTCTCTTAGATAGGAATTTTCTGCATAGCCCTGGCTTCCTAGAATTTACTCAGTAGTCCAGGCTAGCCTCAAACTCACAGAGATCACCTGCCTCAGCTTCCCCTGTGTTGGGATTAAAAGCATGTTTTTTTTTTTCCCCTAAACAATCCTTTGTAGACTACAGCCCATTGTATAATTAATTTGCAGAGTAGTAATTAGGAACAAAATGAAAATGAGATTAGATTTTTACAGATTTTTTTATAATCCTGATAACATAGTCGTTAAGATAACTAAACCTCTCATTATGTGATAAGATTTAAGACTGCTAAGTATGGTGACGGGTTCTTATAATTCTAGCTCTATGGGAGACTCAAGAACACCACAAGGTAGAGACCAGCTTGAGCAACTTAATGAGATGGCTCAAGAAGAAAGGTTTAAAAACTTAGCATTATTTTGCAGGATAACTAACATAGAGTACTTTATTATCAGGCCTAATGAATCATAGCTTACATATGAAGGGAAAATAGGTTGCATTTGTCAAAATTTAGGTATGCTTATAGTTTATTTTACTGTTCGGGATAGTAGCTTGCTTTGTAGTCCAGACTGGCTTTAAATTCATGATTTTTCTGTATCAGCCTTCCAAGCACTGAGATTGTAACAAGTACCTTGTGTGGGTTAGGTTTTAGTCTGTGTGCTGTTTGCCAGCATTGGTACTGATGTGCAATATTTGCAAGTGATTTTTAACCACTTACTTTTCTTAAGCCTCTTGCTTAAACTTAATTCACTTTGAATATGAATCTTTTTGCTGGAGAAATTAACACTGACCCTGTTTTTGCTTTTGTTTTGTTTTGTTTTGTTTTTACTATGATACCCTGTCAGAATCTCTACTCTTTGCCGAGGAGCCGATGTAAGTCAGCACATGTTCTCACCCTCATCGGCTCCAGTCTTCTCCCTGGCTAAAGTCCCATTTAGTGCTGATTGTGTGCTGGCTACTTCTCCTCTTGTCTTTTTCTTGAACCCTCAAGCCCACAGCAGCCCCTGCAGTCCCTGTTCCAGCCGTACACTGCAGTGGAGGTAAGGAAGCCTGCAATGAATTGATTTGGTTATTGGCAGTTGCTTCTGGTCTCATAGATAAAGTTTGTACTCTGCTTCTTAGAAGTGGGAAGAATTTGGTAAGAGGCTGTAAAAGTGTTTAACAAATCTCTACAATATGCAGATTTCTGAAGAATGTAGAGTAGCATATAGGTAATAAGAAGTTTTGTGGGCACCCTAACCCTGTGACTGTGACTACCTCATAACTCGTCCATATGCTTTGTAGCAGAAATATCTGAGTATAGGACTTAGAGAGGTGGATCAGGAGTTAAGAGCACTGTTGGTGTGGAGGACCTGACTTTGATCCCAGCACCCACATGGCAGCTCACAACTCTAACCCTAGTTCCAAGGGATCAATCAAGCAAGCATGCAGACAAAAGATTCAGAAAAATAAAGTAAAAAATCATTAAATACACACACTTAAGAATAAAAACAGGTGAAATGATTTGTTCCAACTGATGAAAATAGCTCTCCTTCTATCTTTTTCCTTTTCGTATATCCAGCACTGTTTGAATATATGCTGTTAGGTACTGCATTAGGGTTAGGAGACAAAGCAGGGACTACAAAATGATGACGTCCCCCATCCTCAGAGAACTTAGGTTATAGTGGAAGGGAACAGAGTTAATGAGTGAATATGAAACATAATAGCAGTATAGATGGAGTAGAAATATGAGGGCCTGGGTTGACCATCTTCAGTGTATCAACAGTAGAAAAGACTTCAAAGAAGTAGGGCCAGGCAGTGGTGGGGCATGCCTTTAATCCCAGCAGGGGAGAGGCAGAAGCAGGTAGATCTCTGTGAGTTCTACCTGCTCTACAAAGCAAGTTCTAGGACAGCCAGGGCTGTTACGCTGAGAAACTCTTCTTCTAAAAAACAACAACAAGGGCTGGAGAGATGGCTCAGTGGTTAAGAGCATTGCCTGATCTTCCAGAGGTCCTGAGTTCAATTCCTGGCAACCACATGGTGGCTCACAACCATCTGTAATGAGGTCTGGTGCCCTCTTCTGGCTTGCAGACATATACACAGACAGAATATTGTATACATAATAAATAAATAAGTATTTAAAAAAAAAACAACAACAACAAAAAATACAGTTCCTTGTGTCGTAGTAATCCCCAACCATAAAATTACTTAGTTGCTACTTCATAACTATGAATTATAAATTGTAATGTAATATGTGATATACAGGATATCTGATAATGCTACCCCTGCTAAAGGGTGGTTCGACCCCCGAAGGGGTCGTGACCTACAGGTTGAGAAAGAACCGCTGGTCTAAGAGCTCTCTTCCTATGTGATTTGTGCAGCAGGGTTCAATGAAGCTGGTGTGGCATAAATTAAGTGAGAAATACAGTGAAATGAGGTCCGAGGAGTAATATGGAGCTGGTCGGATTAAGTGGAGCCATTGTATGTGTATTTGTTTTTATGTTGAGTAAGGTGAGTAGACATGAAGTGTTTAAAATCCAAGAATTTATGTATATGTAAGTTCGTCTGAGACAGGCATGGTGACACAATTCTGAAATTTCAGCACTTGGAATTGGGAACAAGGAGGGTCAGGAGTTCCAGGCCAACCTAGTTACATAGTGATATGTACATATAGGCCACTCTAGACTACATGATACTTTATCTCAAAAGTAATTAAAGGAGAGTGGGGGAGATGGCTCAGTTTGTAAAGGTACTTGCAACCAACCCTGAAGACCTATTGTCAGCTCCCCAGAACTCACATGGTGGAAGGGAAAGAGCTGACTACCTGAAAGTAATTCAACATAGTCCTTTGACCACCACAAGTGTGTAAAATAAAAATAAATGTAATTAAAATTATCACTCTGGCTATAGTTAGAATGCTAGCGGCATTATCTAGGTAAGATAGGTACCCTTGTTCTTTGTTGTTTGTGAGGATCCATGCATATGAGTGTGCAAATATGCACACATGCACTTTCATGTGAAGGCCAGAGGTAGGTGTTGGGTGTCTACTTCAGCCATTCTCATTGTTTTAAGACATAAGCTTAACCTCAAGCTTATATATTCAACTAAGCTGGTTGGCCAATGAATGAAATCCAGGGATCTGTTATTAAATTGGAGTTTAATACAGATTAAAAAATTGCAGGATAGATAGTTACATAGTCAACGAGAGAGAAGCAAAATCTGGGTAACAGGTAATATAATTAGCAATTCAGAGCATATTAGTGATTTATGAAGTCATCTGTGAATTCCTGTTGATAGAAAATGAAGACATGTCAAAGGACTAAATCAGTAATCTGACTTTGAGAGAGCAGGGAGATAATGAAGATCTAGCACAGTAAAGATGGGTGAGTGATTGCTTAGAACCACAAAGGTTCTTGGAAGCCAGTTGGGGGTGAAAGTTTCTAAAGGGAAGATTGAGTGATCAAAATGTATATGCAAAGCTTTCTGCTAGAAAAATTAACTGAGAAGTCAAATGGTTAAGTAATTTTTACTTACAGGGTGTTCAGATTTAAATGATGTAATTTGATTTTGGAGATCAAAATCTGCAGGTCTTGGGATAGTGTTAGACATTGGACAGTGCCAGGAGCCTTACCCTTCCTTCAGGCACATCTTCCTGTGTGTGGGCTTGGCACAGACAATGAGTTGAAAGACAAACACAATATAATGTTGGTTTAGTCTTCTTGGATTAGTTAGCACCCCTTGGATTGGTAACACAACCTTAACAGTATCTTACATTGATCGACATAATGGAAATGTGAGATTTGCTGGTGTTTGGTAGACTTGTTTGCATGTTTGTTCACTGTAATAGTGTATTATTCCTTTTTTTTTTCTACTTGGTGTAAAATACTAGGTCAGTGTGTGCCAAGATGGTTTTGATTGTTTACAGAATATTTTTGTGTTTCTTTAAACCGTCTTAAGATTCTAGGATGTACTTATTAAACCATTGGATCTTTTTAGGAATTACTTTTAATCTTTGGTGTGACTTGAACAGAATTTGGACGCATTTCCCCTTTTTCGAGGTAATACTTCTGAGTATTCTGCTTGAGTTCTATGCATTGAAGTTTTTGCAATCAGCTGGGAATGTGGAGTGTTGTGGCTGTGTGTTAGGTGGAGGAGCATGTCAGCTCCTTGATTTCTCTAGCAGTTTCCTTATTTTCTTTCAGTGATTAGTACTGTACTCCGTTAAAGCCTTGGGAGGCACCCAACTTTGCTTTACAGGTTTTCATAGTTCTTTCTGTAGCTCTCTTCCTTCTGCTACTCTGTCTTGAAAATTCTAGCCAACTTATTCTCTCCAAATTCTGTCTCCTCAATTTAGAGATTTTTGGGCTCTTTTGCATATCCCCTTCATGTGTTGCTTCCTAGACATATTCCCAAGGCAGTGTGAACTGGAGCAATCTTAGTGCTTATTCTGCAAGTTTCCCTTCTGTTGAAAGTTGTTTTACATATTTTTCCTGATTTTATTTTAAATGGGGTTTGGATATGTTTCCCAGTGTGGCCTTAGACTTATGGATTAAGTGATCCTTCAGTTTCACCCTCCTTAGTAGTTGGAAGGAAGTACAGCTGTATACCACCATACCTTACTGATTGTTGGTTGGTTTGTTGGTTGGCTGGTTGGTTGGCTTTAAAAACACAGAAGTAAATCTGGTTAGTTTCCTTATCATCTAGAGGAACAAAAATCTAATATTCTTAATTTTTGAGCTCATGTTTTTATTATCAGATATTGATGTTTGACTGATTTCGTATTTGTTAAACCTTGTAAAAATGTACCAAGTGCTTTTTATTTGTTTTCTCATGCTTTATCAAAAAAACAAAAAGCCATAAAGTGGGGCTGGAGAGATGGTCAGAGGCACATACATATTTACAAAAAAAAATGTAGCCCAGTAAAGCCAAGATACTATGTATTTTTTTACAGAAGAATTTTAGACCCCCTTCTCCCCCTTAGACCCTAGTGCATGCATTCAAGAAACAGTTCCTGAATTAAATATACTTTCTATGGATATTTTATAACCATGATATATTTACATTTAAGCCTGTAAATTTATAAATACCACCACCTGGCTTATAACTTTAATTCATTTTTCGACTCCTGTCCCTGTAATGTCTTACACAGCACAAAGATCTGGTAACTTGATGTGGGAGTGTCATATATCAATCTGTTGATTTCATTGGTTAAGCAATAAAGAAACTCCATGGCCCTGATAGGTTAAAACATAGGTGGGAGGAGTAAACAGAACAGGATGCTGGGAGGAAGAGGAAGTGAGCTTGGACTCTACAGCTCTGCTCTCTGGAGCAGAGACGTCATAGCTCAGTTCTCGGGGACACATGCGATGAAGCTTCAACCCAGGATGGACGTAGGCTAGAATCTTTCCCGGTAAGACTGATGCCACACAGATTATTAGAGATGGGTTGATCGGGATATGAGAATTAGCCTGTAAGGGCTAGAGTTCATGGGCTAAGCAGTGTTTAAATGAATACAGTTTGTGTGTTGTTATTTCGGGCATAAGCTAGCCAGGCGGCCGGAGTGCTGGGGACGCAGCCCCGCCGCACTTAATTACAACAGTAACTCAAAAAGTAAAGGAAATGAGAACAAAAATAGGTAAGTAGGATTGTGCTAAATGAAAAAACTTCGTAGCTGGGTAGTGGTGGTACATGCCCTTAAATCCAGCACTGTGGAGATAGAGGAGGGTGGATCTCTGAGTGTGAGACCTGATCTACAGGACAATCACAGCTGTTACACAGAAAAGACCTGTCTCAAAACCTGCCCCCTGCCCCGCCAACAGTATTGTATGGCACAGAAAAAAGCCTTTTCTAATTACAGGAGAAAATTATATAATTAAGAACCTGACCCAGATAAACTAAAGGTGGAAAAACTGGAAAACACTTTATAAAGGAAATAACAAGGGGCGTAGAGTAATGGCTCAGTGGTTAAAAACACTTGCTACTCTTGCAGAGTACAAGGGTTCAGTTCCTAGCCCCTGCATAGTGGCTTACAACCTTCAGTTACTCCAGTCCTCAGGAGTTTAATACATCTTCTGACCTCCACAGGCACCAGACACACAAATGCTACGCATTTACACAGATGAAAAACACATGCATAAAATAAATCTAAATAAAATGAAATATTCCTTGATAAGAACCAACAAGCAATAGTGATGAAGAGTGGTAAGTTGGTTGTCCCAGCATTGCAAAAGAGACTTTGGGGGATTGTTAAGGTAGTCAGCTGTCTCTGTCATTTCTTACGTCTTTTGGAAGTCACTTGCTTGCAATTCCTGCTTGCTCAGGTAATACTGATTTCCTTCTTGGGTCTTTGATGGGGTTTGAAAACTGGATGATCATAGCTACTTTGCCTTCATAACTTAGCTAAGACATTTTTAGTATGAGACTTAGACTCCTCAGGATAAGACAGCTATTGAAATAATCTCTGTTATTTGCTAATTACCTTAGACTGGACATTAGCATGTGTTTCTTGCTTGGTGTTGTTCATGTTGGTTGAAGTTCTATTTTTCTGTATGTTTTTGCCTTTTCTTTCTCCTAGACAATACTTGATATTATTGTATTTAGGTTTGTATTAGGTTTAGAACCCTCTTATTTAGACAAAAGGGGCAGTGTTGTGGGAGCCTTTTGGGTACATGCCCATTAGGGCGTGTTCTAAGGAACTATGTGTGGATTGATAAGCACAGATATGAAGCATGCTCGCTCTCTTGTCTCATGGTCTGAGTTCTATTCGTAGCTCCCAGTGCCCACAGAGCAGAGGACCTCAGTGGCTCTCTACCTTTATTGTGAGTGTTTCCCAAATAAATATTTGTTATCCTTTATTCTGGGCTCTCTTGGACTTCCTTAATTAAGCCTACACTTGTCTTGAAAAAGAAAATAGAAAAATTGACCATGCTGGAGCCACTGTTTCTACATGACAGGGATATCTCTTGGTGATTATTATAGAGGAGAAGAAATAGACATAATTCCTAACAAATTTGTTTGTTTGTAAAATATGTCAGAAGATGGTAACTGCTCCTGGGAGTAAAGATAAAGGAGAGTAAATCCTGTTATCATATAGAGAAATGGGGGAAATAGCATTTGAGGAGTTAAAGGAGTAAGGAGATCTTGCCATGTATTGCTAAAAAAGAAGGGCATTCTAGGTAAAGGGAGCAATTAGTTAACACATTGTACCTATCAGCTACTAGTTTCTATTTAGAATCAGTAGCCTTTGGAAGATCTTAAGAGGAGGAGTGAAGTTATATAATTTATACTTTAAAGAGGTCACTAGTGTGGTGCTTGTGTTAGGTAGAGAGTAGAAGTAGAAAAGAGGATAAAGGAGAGAGAGAATATTGAAGTAATCTGTGTAAGAGAAATAGAATGCATCAGTGATAATTACTACTATGTAATGTTTAAGTAATACTATCTCCCTTTATTGGCAAAAAAAAAAAAGGTGTATTTTCTTCTATGCTTGTATCTTGGTCTTAACAAGGACATCATCTTGGTTATACTATGAAACAGGCAAATGCTTGGCCTGAAATTGCTCCTGGTTCTCTACCATGTTTACATTGAATGAAACAAGTGGTATTTTCATGACCCCAAGGAACTAGCCAAGCGCTCAAATAGGAGCTAGACCTCTAGCATTGGAAATTCGGAGTGTTTAAGGAATCTGAAACCAAGCATCCTATCCACAGTGTGTTGTTTCACAATGTAGTGATGTTTCAGCGACTGTGTGGGTACCTGAGACCCTGCTTCCACTTGTCCATTGAGATGACCACAATGAGGCATGTAAGATGAAATGATAGGCCTCTTTCTTGACTGGCCAGAGTTTTGTAGTTAACAGCAGAACATCAGCTCAGTGAACTTGTCAGCAGTCAAGTTAGTATATCTGATTCCTCAGACACCAAGTACTTTGTTTCTTGAGATGAAAGAGATCAGATCCTCTTCTGATTCTGGGGAAATAGCTAGAGCCTATTGAAAGGGAAAAGTTAGCCCATTTCTTGTTTTGGATCTCAGCTGATCTTGGCGTCAGTTCTAGAGTGTCTGACCTTTCTTCTCCCTCTTGTAGCCGTTAACAGATCAGCCAAGTAAGATTATGTGTACCTTTGTTAAAAGGCGTGTGGCCTAGAAATATGATCTTTGGTGCATTATATTTTAAAGTTTAAAGCAGCAGATGTAGTTCATATCAGTTAAGGGTCCCTTAAGTTTCATGGGATTTTCATTTTTATACATAATAAGTTTGGATATAATTTGATTTACATGTAATAGGTAAACATTGTCTTTAGTACTTATAACAAATAAGTACTTTAATACTTATAACCAATCATAATCATTAATTCATTTATTTATTTATTTGAGAGCCTAACTTATATTGTTCTAGACCTTTCGCAACATGCAGTATGCAAAACAAACATAATAATCACTGTCCTTCAGAGTTCCAGAGTCTAATTGGGAAATACAGCAAAATAGAAGTGTAAAATATCTAGTGTTGTGATAATTGTAAGTACTGTGGAGAAAACTGTATCAGGAAAGAAACATAAGAGTTTGGGAGGGGTACAATTTTAAATGGAATGCTTAGGGCAGTAGTTCTCAACCTGTGGGTTGTGACCCCTTTGTGGTCAAATGACCCTTTTATAGGGGTCACCTAAGACTATTAGAAAACACAGATTTACTTTACATTTCATAACAGTAGCAAAATTACATTTATGAAGTACCAACAAAAATAATTTTATGGCTGGGGGTTCTCCAAAATATGAGATATTAAAGGGTCGCAGCACTAGGAAAGTTGAGACCACTTAGGGAGAAATACATTAAGAATGTATTGAACAAAGACCCGAAGGAGGTAAGGGGCCAAGCTCAGGTGCTCTCTGGGGAAAACATTATATTATAAGCAAAGGTAATGTCAGTTGTAGCAGCCTTGAAGCAGAGATTTTTTTTTTAGGTTCATCTGTTGTTTGAGTCAACAATTCCTTTCTTGCTATTGCTGAGTAATTTCCATTGAGTAAAATGGTTTGTGAACTATGGTTTATCATTCAG